AAACACATGAATTGTTATTGTCTTTTCGGGGAAGAATCTAGTGTCTTCTTTCTTATCCAGCATGTTCAAGTAGCTTCTATTCCAAATAAGAACTGCCTTTCTGTATTAGACCAAAGGTCGATCATCTAGCTAGCAAACTTTCTCCAGTTGTGACAAATGGAAGCTTGCTAGCAAGGCATGAAAGCATTAGCTTTTCTGTCTGTCTTTGGTATCCAGTATTCAGAAATATTCTGCCTCTGAATATGGGCTATTGATTTATCCAGCATGACTGATGACTGCTGATCATTATTGATATGGATAACATTTCTAACATCCCACTTAAAAACATTGGTAGGGTAATCCAGTGTGCTTCTGTTGAGACAGAAGCCTTGGTGAATTTTGAGAGGGTTACTCCCAGATAACAGTGCGCAAAACTACAATCGTAAAGCAGCTCACCGTTATCCTAGTGCCATGTTTTGTGATCTGCTGACATAGTTATGATGCTGATCAAGCTAAAACATCAAGAACCATATTGAAGGTATTTTACTTAAGTGTGGGAGTATTCTATATATTTTTATCTTTCCATCATTTATAGATCTTGAAGTCACTCTCTGGTTTCTCTTATTCCTTGTCAAATGTCAAGACTGTTTGCTACAACTGTTAAACATTTAATAAGCTTTCAATGAAAAAACGGAGCAATACTAATTCCTTTGATAGGTATGATGTAAGAGACACCACTTTAATAGACAGAGCAGCGTGTGGATTTTGACTCTCCAATTGCTCTCTCGTGTATCATTTTATCCAGAACATGAAAAAGAGCCTAATTAGTTCGTTATAACTTCATATAATATCCATGCTTTTTTCTATGAAAGTTTATCACAGCAAGTTATCTTCATGCTAGTTTATAGTTCTAAAGAAAAGCTAATTAATTTAATGACACGTACATGAGGCTGCTCTGCTGGAGGTCTCAGTGTGGTCCAATATCAAAAACTACTTTCTACGAGGTCAAGAAGGTTCTGGATTTGCCAGTTGTAGTGCTAGTTGCTCAAAGCATGGGCGAAAATAACTAAAAGCAGAGAAAAGGTAGGATAAAAAGCATAAAAAATTAAATAAGCGAGGGAGTTCCAACCTCAGCATGTAGTTTAAACAGGAGTGCAGGCTGCCTTTCTAGGGCAAAGCAACAAAGATTTTATGCTTTTGTCATCCATTTTAACTGAATGTATAAAGGAGACATTCAGATTTTATAGAATGCATCTCACCATCTTCACACTGAGAGATGGGAGAAGGGTGTGGGGATTGTATTCCCTCCATCCCTGGATCAAATAATAATTATGAAAAAAAGACATTTTGCAAATGATGTGTGTGTCTGCACACACTCTGCTGGCCTACATTCCCAATTCAAATATACATGCAAATTTAGAAACATGCATATCACAATATGGATTTCTAGTGAATTCTTATGTGTTAGGATGGGTCTGTGGGTCTGATCTCTAGGGAAGTGAGCAGAGATAAACCACTGCTGTGTATTTCATATTAATTTAACTTAATTTGCTCCAGTGATATACAGAGACTAAGAAGAGACTGGAATTAGCAAGTCCAGTGGCAGTGGTCAGTATGGGGGTTGAGGTAGTCTTTGAGGTCCCAGGGTCTTAGAAGCACCCATCTGCCCTTGACCTGCCCTAGTTACCACACCCCATTGTCACCACCAGCATCCTCCTCTTCCTCCTCCTCCAACTCACCCTGTTGGCCAAGTGGGGGCCGTGGCTGAACTTGCAGGCATTGAAGAACACCATTTTATTTTACTTGAAGAACACCATTTTATTTTATTTTATTTTTTTATTTTATTTTATTTTATTTTATTTTATTTTCAGTTGCATTTTGAGTAGCAGGATCCAAAGCAGTCAGATGGCATCTTTGAAGAGAAATACAGCCACTTCGGCTGCAGGGTTGTAGTTAAGTAGCTTCAGTCTCTGGGTCTTCTACTTATCAACAGGTCAGTCCATAGTGTGGCACTCTTAGAAATTTAGTGAATACGCACAGGATTATGAAATTTACCTGCTCTACTTTTCAGTTTGTGATGTAAAGAAATCACTGCCTAGAGTTGCATCTAGAACCAGTCATACTTAGGTGGATGCAGTGGGATCAACAGCCTAACTCTTAACCTCAAATGATTTCAGTGGGTCTGCTCAAGTAGGGGGAAGTCTAAATCCAGCCCTATGTGTCCGATAGAGGAATGCCTTCAGGGTGAGTCTCTTTGCCATTATCCTGTTGTTGCAATAGGCTCTGTAAATCATTTTCTCCCTGAAGGTCTGTCTGCTGATTCAGCGCCTGCTGAGATTGCTGCTGACATATACCATTGACCATTTGTTCAGAATTTAGAGATGCTGCTTTGAGTAGGTGCAAACCGATGACCTTGGCCTAGTGAGCTGCAACAGCATGAGTTGAAATTAAAAGAAAAAAATCTATTGAGGTGGAACAAATGTGATTGAACTGGGTTATTGACACAGGTATCAAAGAGAATTTCTTCAGCAGAATGAAGGAATCTAAGCAGCAGAAAGAGGAGAGGTTGCTGCTTTGTTTTTCCATTCATTTGGAAAGGTCCCTCCACCAGAAGATATCCAATGTATGCAAATAGCTGTTCCTGGAAATAGTTTCAATTGTACATTGCATAGAACAAAACAATGTGGTTTATTCCACAGTAGCCATACGTAGTACTATGGACTAATTTTATTCTAGGTCCATAGACAGAAATAATGTCAAAGAGTCTGTCTGGCTGAGCAAAGTTAAGCCTGCACTGGAGGAGCTGGAACTCTCTTAAAGAGGAAAGTCTTGGATCCAGCATTGGCACTGGACATACGGGTGGCACTGAAGGCATGGGGAACTTATATATCCTCATCTGGACCAGGGTGCCATCCATGCTCCTGTAGTCTCTTCTCTGGATTACTGCGAGGCAAGATACACAGACCTGCCACCAAAGACTGCAGGTGGTCCTAAATAAACAGAAACTGAGTGGTGTAAACATACCATGCCAGTTGTTGGAGATCCCCACTTTCAGCCAGTGAGCAGAGAGCTGGTATTAACTGACACAGCCCTAAATAACTTGTAGCCAAGTTTCCCTGAGGATGGTCTCTTAGATGGTCTTCAGAAGTCCACCTCTAGGCACCTGGAGGTTACTGAACGAAATGGTTACTGAGATGAAGGCTGAAGTCTCTTTGGTTTTATCTTTAGATGAAATTTGCAGCATTTTCACCTAAGAGAAATGGCTATAATGTTTTGATTAAAATACGCTTTTCAGGAGCATCTGTGGGAAACAGTGATGAGCAGTGTTGAAAAGGTCAGATTCACAGGCTGAAAAGAGGTGTCCAATAAATAACGCCTATCAAATTTGAATTAATACTAAGCGGATATGTACACAAGCACTCTGAGCCCCAGTGGAAAGCAGCAGGCTCCAACTAACCTGTCACATTTCATTTGAAGCAAAACCTACCCCTCCATGTTCAACCTGTGCCTCTTTTCGCTTCCCATCACACTATGGCAGGAAAAGGCGAGGCATACGTATTTACAAAGACATATAAAAGCAGGTTAATGATCAGGGTAGACATCAACGTCTAAATATTTTCTGTACTCAGTGAGTAATTTATAGTGCAACACTAATTAACAATAAATGAAAATGCCCCAATTGTGTAGCTATTCTGTGTGCAAAATAGAATTTTAAAGGCAAAATGTGTTCCTCCACAGTGGTGTAGCCTGTAAAAATTTCAGCCAATGGAGAATGTATGTCACATTAATATACTTTACGGTACCAATAAACAACTGTACAAAAAGTGTACTACTTGCTTCATTCTAATTAGTGAATTAATTCATTTATATAAGTTTCAATTTTAAATTAAGGACTGTGAAAAAAACACTTTAAAGATAATTGAAAGCAGAAATTAGTTCATATTTCTTGTAGCTGAACAAATTAGAGGGAATTTAATATATCCAGTCGCATATCGACATTATTATTGCTCTGTTACACTGGGATACAAATAGAATTCAAATTACATCTCTCTTTTTTATTATTGAAGCCCTAAGAAAGTTTATTTTCGAATAGATGATTTCACACACACATATACACACACACACGGAGATATGACAAGAATATTTTTTATCTGTGTTAGAGAGAGTAGAATTATTATTAGAATTATTAATCTGAGAAAAATAGAGTAGATTTATTGAAGTGCAAACTATCATAAATGTAGTTTTCTCTACTGGGTCTGTTACTGGGGGGGGGCGGGGGAAAGGCACATCTTGCGAGTGTAAACTGTGTTAAAGAGATTCTGTTGACATTAGCAATCTTTACTCTAGAGTGTTTTTAATGCAGCTCATTTAGCCATGCTACACACCAAAAATATGGAATGCATTATTTTATTTTTTGTTGACTGGGACTGTGAATAGGCTCGTGCTGCTTTCAGTGCCGCATTTGACGCATGTGAGTGGCTGTAGCGCAGGTTATTTCTGGTAATGTGAGAATCTCCAGCTAAAGTAGGAGGAGCTGAAAGAGCCTAGAATGGATATAAAGACAAATCTTTAGATTTCAGCCTCAAACAGAAGTTCAGATCAAATAAATATGCAGAAACAAGGGACTTTCATTAGATTCGGAATTCTTTCTCTTGTGTTGGAAATTGGTATGCTTATGCCCTTGCTTAACTTGCTATCATGAAAATGGGGTGAATATAGTCTGCAAAGCTTCAATTTGCCAGGTCTATTGGATTTTTTTCCCTTTCATGTAAAGAGAAAGCAACACAAGCTTGTAAGTTCCTACTCAGAAGTAAGCCACTTAATTCATTGGAACTAGCTATCAGATACCTGTGCATCAGATTGCAGCCCGCAGCTGCATTTTTGCGTTAAAAAATGGATTCTGCTTTTTCCCAGGTAAATAAGGAAAATTTTAGAAGTATTTTAATTTCTGTTTGTAAATAAGCTACATTTTCTCTGTCTGTAAAGCTCCTCTTAATTACATTACTGATGTTTTTCAGCAGGTGCTACAACCATAGAGAAGTATGATCTCAGGACAAATATATGGATCCAGGCTGGAGTGATGAATGGCAGAAGGCTACAGTTTGGTGTGGCTGTCATTGATGACAAACTCTTTGTTATTGGAGGTCGGGATGGTTTAAAGACACTAAACACTGTTGAATGTTACAACCCAAAGACAAAGACATGGACTGTCTTGCCTCCAATGTCAACCCATAGGCATGGCTTAGGTAAGAATTCAATTTCCCTAAGATATCTGTATCAAAATGTGCCCACTAATGGAAAACACAATGATCAAAGTCAACTGAAATGCATATGGTGTAACTATATTGTGTGAACTAAACAAAGAGTTTAGTAGGTTGTATATTATTTTATACGGAATCGAGCTGACGGTCCGCCACGAGGCGAGCTACCGTCTGTCCCAGCCCCTGCTTTATGGATGTCGTGAGCCACCCTGAGGCTTTGTTGCAATGGGGGCGGCATAGAAATGTTTTAAATAAAATAAATAAAATCTGATGGGGTAAGAGTCTGACAGAGTTAAGGTTTGCTCTTCCTCAACCCCAATTTTGGTTTGTTAGGCCCATGCGGACACTGTCTTGCTGTGGTACAAATTCAGTCTCTGAAACAGGTGGTGATTTGCATGTTAATACAAATGAATTGGCAAGGACATTTTTGTAGCTCACAAATTGGAAACCAGAAACTATGCAATTCTACTGCAGTTTGCATGAATAGTACAAAGTGCGCTATTTGCACAAATTGCATAAACATACGCACAGATTTCCTTAGTGCTTTTAAAAAGTGCAAACTGAAGCCCATCTTGGAGATGAAAATTTGAAGAAAAATGCTACCTTAGCTTGGTTCTCATCACTGAATCGGTTAGGAAATCCGTTAAGCTCAAGCAAACTGTGCTTCCCAGCTTTGTAGTTGTTTTTCTTTAGTCACAAAGTCATGCCCAATCCATCATGGCCCCATGGACAACATTCCTCCAGGCCCTCCTGTCCTCCACCATCTCCGAGAGTCCACCCAAGTCCACACCCACCACCCCAGTGACCCCCTCTTGCCACCTCATCCTCTGCCGTCCCCTTCTTCTTTTGCCATCAATTGTTCCCAGCATCAGGGTCTTCTCCAGGGAGTCCTTCCTTCTCTTTAGGTGGCCGAAGTATTTGAGTTCCATCTTCAGCATCTGGCCTTCTAAAGAGCAGTCAGGGTTGATCTCCTCTAGGACTGACCGGTTTGATCTCTTTGCAATCGAGTTTCCCAGCTTTGGCACATGTCAAATTAGGAGTGAGTATGTGGGAACAGTGGAAAATATCCAACTGTGTCATTACACTAGCAAAAGCCAGCTTTTAAATCATGTGCCAGAGGAGAATCCAATTAAATTAAAGTTTGCACAAATGTGCACGATGCATGTGGAAACCGTTGTGCATTACAATTGTGCAGATCGTGGTGTGCTGGCAGTCCATTGCTTTTGCACCAGTGTTCATCTTTGTGTTTATGCAACACATCGTACAATTGTCATGGGCAACCGTAGTGGACATCCTTGCAGGCTTCTTCACAGAAAGGCTGTCAGCCCAGCCACACTTCCTGGATGCCGTGTGGCAATCTGAACATTCAGGAGCTACGGCTGTGTGGAATGTGTCTGAACCCTGGGAAACTGCAGGTAAGATCTAGGGATTTAGAGCATTAGGAAAACTCTTTTGAGTGGCTTTTTTAAAGGTGTGGAGAGAGATTACTTAAAGCTCTACATGGGATCTTGGGATAGAGATGTTCAGGCCACCATCAGTTCTTCAATGCTCAGAAGACCATGCAAAATGCTGTCCTCTCCTGAGCTTCCTCGGAAGCAGTACGGGGCTAAAAGCCTCAATGTAAAGAATCCTGAAAGTGCAAGTGGGGCGTTGTAAGGGTTAAAATTAAGCACAGCTAAATCTGTTTACCTGCTGCACTTAAAAAAAAAAACCCTGCCTCTCTACTCCCTGTTAGAAATGTCATCAAAATTCTCCCGCTTCCCCCACAAGAATCAGAAAAAGCAAAGCTCCTTTCTCAGGAAGGGAAGGATTTAGTAAGGTAGACTGCACAGCACCTTCAAAAAGCAGGGGTCAGCATAAGAAACAAGGCATACAAGGGGAAGCCAGTCAGCATTCTCAGCCCGCAGAGCACAGCTCCGGTATTTTGTTTTTGCTTCCCTGTTTTAAAAGGAGCACGTGCTTAGGTGCTCATTCCCGGCCCCCTCCAAATATTGCACATTTATCAATGCGTGTGTATGAGTAGCTCTTCCTTCCCTCCCTGGAGACATTTCAATGAAGTTTCAGGGTTTGAAACTATACTTGATGCACCTTTTAGTGGGTGATAAGATATAGGATCGTTTCTACACGCATGCCAGGATTTATTTATTTATTTATTTCCTTCCTTCCTTCCTTCTTTCCTTCTTTCCTTCCTTTCCTGGTGAATTGTTATTTCTTTCAAAGGAAGGTACTTACATCCAAATTCAGTGATGGAGAACATTTGTAGAAAGCCACCATTTCAGTATCGCATGGTACTTTTTAAAGAATTTTAAGTGGCCGGCTGGGAAAAACTTGGCTGGGTCCCTCGGGAAGCATCTGCCAGTCAGAGTAGGTTATGCTGAGCTAAGTGGACAGTGGGCTTATTCAGTACAGGAAAATATTTCTCAAGTAGCCTGTACAGTTGATCTAGCAAAACCCTCAAGAGCTGTAAACTATGAGAGGAATATCACAAGAATTGTTTTAAATCATGGGAACAAGAAATAGAGCAAACCTCTTGGGTCATCTTATACCCTTAAGTGCTCTTAAACATTCCTGATTGCATTAAGTTCATAGTCGCAAATATGTATAACATGTGACTGCTTGTTATTTTGAAATTTGTTAGTAATAATGGACCATCTTTCTTGGTGCCTTCCAGAAAGTTGGATTACACTTCCCATCAGCATTTACCATCATGGCCAGTGTTCATTTCATTTATTACATTTCTGTGCCACACCACACATAGCCTAAGTTCTCTTGGTGGCTTACACACATCAAGATGCTAAAATATAGCACAATTGCTTAATCTGAATACATTATTTATTTTAGAAACATAGAAACAGAGCGAGTCAGAAGGGGTCTCCCGGGCCATCTAGTCTGACCCCCGGCTCTAGCTGGCTCTGCTCACGACATGCCTACCATGTGCATGTCCAGCCTATCCTTGAACACCCGCACTGATGGGGCTTCATCCAGCTCCCATGGAAGCCCATTGCATACCCTCAGGGTCCTAACTGTCGGGGAAGTACTTCCTGGCATCTAGATGGAACCTTGGCTCCCTGAGCTTTGCTTTTTTAATTTAATTTTATTTATTTTTATTTATTTGGGTTTTTTTTACCCCGCCCAATATGCTGCAGGTCTCTGGACGGCAAACATATAAAAGTGTCAAAAATCCATACAATCAAAATCCCAGGAACCATTAGAAAGTCTTATGTTCAGGTCAGTGCAGTGTGGTGGTGAGAGAGATCCAGGTTCTAATTCCCCCTTGGCCATGAAGCTTAGTAGATTACTTTGGACTCGTCACTCACTCGCATCTGAATGGATCTTGCTGGGTTGTTATTGTGCTGTTACAATGGAGCTAAGCTGCCTTGGCATCCTTATGTTGCATGCTTAGAATGTTGAGGACAATAATGGGGGACGAGAGTGTTATAACTGTGTGAAAAATGATTACAAAACATAAAAAAACATTAAACTAAAGTAAATAAGATAAAGCAATGACAGCCAAGTGTAAAGAACAAAGAGTATTTTAAGCATTGTGTTTTAATAGAAAGAATTAGATAACAATTGTTTCATGACTCACAAAAGATAAGTGGAAGTTGCATTGACTTTACTGTGTAAGCCATGCTAGAATTAAAATATATGACAAGAAATAGGTAAAGAATATGTGTTCAGTTGAATTTTAATGCATTTAGGCTATATTTCAATAAAGGTTCAGGACTAATGACTGTGCCATATTGTCACAAAAAATTGATGAGCAATTGATGTGAGTCTCGATTCACTCCTGTAAGTTGTCCTGCAGAATACCACGTGTTTCTACAACTTTGTTTCTGTAGAGCAGCAAGTCACATTGAAATCAACCACGTGGTCATTTGGGAGATCTGGAGAAAAGAATGTGGCATCCTGTATTTCCACAAGAGAAGCAAAACTTATAAAAGCATTGTAGAATTTGTCCACAGGGATTGAAAATGGTGTGTAGGGCGGCAGTGAGATCAGAGGAGCAATTTGGATAGCCTTGGGCTATCCTTGGGTTTCATCCATGTTGTGATGGAGAAACAGTAGAAGAAAGTTGGAATGACTGTCTCCCTCCCGTATCTAAATTCAAAGGGTTGCTGGATAGAGCAAATCAGGAGAGAATGCGTATGCAGAGGCCTTGTTGGCTTCTTTTGTTTCTCCAGGCTTCCTCAGCCTGTTCTTGGGCTTTGAAGGACGGGAATAATGTCAGAAAGGAAGAGACATAATTGCCAGAACCTCAAATTTATTTCTTCAGGGGCTTCCTTGATGCCATATCACAACTTGTTCACAACTTTTAGAAACTCCTCAAATGAACTCCAGAGAAATGTACACCTCCGAACTGAAAATTTCTCTTGTTGTTTTCAGTGTTCTGGGGTGACCATGGCACATTGCCCCTTCCTGTGCCATAAATACTGTCCTTTTGTAAGTCTGTTTCAATTAATTGGCAGTGGGTAACTTTAACAATCCTTTCAATCTCCGCAGGAGAATTTGTATTGCATTTTAAATCAAGGTCTAATGACAGTTAGCAATACTCTTAGTCCTTTCCTTATTCTTTTAATCATGGTCTATAGCAGTTTAACAACAGAGCTGTCAGTGTTTGCAATGGATTAAATCGCTGTACAGTGGGAATGCAGTCTAGTCATGTATACCTTTATCAGCAATTCCTTGAATTCTACAGCATTTTCCAACAGACATGTAGATATAATGCTTGCCTATTATGCTGACTCAAATAGGAATTGTGTACCTAAGAAAAGAAAACCAGTGGCTCAGATTCTGTGCATTTTCAGTGCAATCTTAGATGTGTCTACCCAGAAGTGAATGCCATTGCATTAAGTGGGGCTTATTTCAAGTACAAAAAACTGTTTCAGTTTTTCATACTACAGCTTCTCTTGCACCACTGAACCCTGTTTCCTTTATTGCTTTATCCTGCATTTCAGAGTTAAGTTATCCTACAGTGGTCAATG